GAGACGGGACCCCGGGCGGGAGGGAGAGGACTGGGGGGCGCGCGGCACAAAGAGCTTTTTATTCAAATTTGTTTAGAGTTTCGAGAATTTGCATGAAAAATGTGTGAGAAAAGCCAGCTCCGGTGACCTCATCCGCACCTGCCATTAACGTTCAATTAGGCGCTGAATAGCGGCGGCCGACGCGACGTGCAGAGAATCCGGCCTGCCCCGCGCAGCCGGCCGGGCAGGGGTGGGAGCGGGGGTGGGGTGGGGCGCCGGGCCCGGCCTACGCCTCGGGGCTGGGGACCCAGGACCTCGTGGGCGCTCCGACTCTCCGAGGGGATGCTGGGACCTCAGGACCCTGGTGCCCAAGGCAGTGGGGGCGCGCCGGGGCCCTGGGGAGGCCCAGCTCCCGCGGGCGCAGAGGAGGCCCGGCTTCCCCTCCCCCGGACGGAAGGTGGACCGAGGAGCCCCGTCCCGGCTCAGACGGGCTTCCTCGCCACCTTCCGGACAAAGTGTCAAGTACAAGTTCAAGTTCAGGGCCAGGCCCGGGGGGCGCCGAGCCTTACCCGGCCGCCTTTGTTCTCCGGGATAATCGTTCCCACATCCACTCCCCGGCGGGGCCCGGCACAAACCCCCGCCCCGCCCCACCGCACCCTGCTGGAGCCGCCTCCTCCCGCCGGCGCGGCGCCTGTCCCCTGGTCCCGGCGTCCCCGCTCGGGGCCACTGTAGGGTCTGGGGGCTCGGGGCGGGGGAGGCGCGGTACCAGCCCGTGGGAGCCTCCCCAACCCCGCAGTCCCAGCGGCAAACTGCGCTCGGTCGGACGGATGCCTGCGCCGAGGTAAGAGCCCTTGGCGGGGTTCGCCCGCACCCCCTGTGCCCCGCCCCCGCCCCACCACGCGACCCGGAGGAGCAGGGTGGAGGGCGGTGTGCTGCAGAGCAGCTGGGAGGCTGGGCCGCCAGGCTGGGCCTCCGGGGGGCGCGCTGCCGCTCCCGGGCTCTGAGGGGTACCAGGCCCGGGCGGGGAGGCGCAGAGGGCAAGTGCGCCCTGGGACGGCCCGGAGAGATCGCCGGCCTTTCCCAAGGGCATCTGGCGCACCCACCTCTCCTCGCTTAGCCTCTCGGTCTTCTCCTCTGCGTCTCTCCTGGCCTCCTGTCAGATTTGGGCTGTAGGGGACCCTAGCTAGAATCTAGCTCCCCAGGCCCCGAGGCCCCTCCTGGAGAGCTGGGGCGGGGGGTATGTGTGTGGCTGCTAGGGGAATCCGCCGTGCCCACTCCACTCCCCCAGCCCCCTTCCCAGACTTAAATTAAGGTCCTAGGCCAAATGGCGGTTGGGGGGCTGAGGTGGGCCGACTATGTGGCTGTGCAGGGGCCATAAAGGTTCTTTTGTGTGTGCGTGTAGGACCCTTGCTGGTCCCGCGTCTGGTCCCTAGATTCTGCGTGGGGTCAGGTGCTAGCTTGTGCCTCACCCCACCAGTGCGATGGCAAGTTGAAAGGGTGTGCCTGCTTCTGAGTGGCCCGAAACTTGTCCCCCATTCCTGACTTTCACTCTCAGGTGCTTTGCGGTCATCTATGTACTAGTGCTTTCTGTGGAGTTCTAACATCCCTGGTATTGGGTTTCTAAATTCACAGCAAGTTAGGGTAGCAGATTAGAAAGGAGGAGAGGGCCTTTCCCTGCAGCTGGACTGTTCCCCTTGGGTGTTTCTTCCTCTCTTCTTTCTCTGTGTAGTCCTGGGATTTCTCACTTTTGGGATTTTCCTCATCTTGAAGTTCCTGCCTGCAAGAGTACACACCACCCCATCTCCCCTTGGCCAAATTTTGGCCAAACTCCTCCTCCAGGAGGCCTGCCCAGATTTCCCCAGTATCTCCCCGTCTCTTGATACCTTCAGCAGAGGGTCAGTTGTACTGCCAAGTACCTAATAGACACTCAATTAATGAAATCATTTCTGGCTGAATGAATAAAAAACCAGACACACACATAAATTTAAAAAGCATTAAGGATTCAGTTTTTTTTGTCTTTAATATTGACTTAAACATAAGATAACGGCTCCTGGGGGCTCCTCCCCTCTGCTCCACGGCACATGAGGTCTCTCATCCACAGCAAGAACCAGCATGAAAGCTGTTAAAAAAGAAAGGAGAAAAATTATTTGCAAATTGCTTTAACATTTTAAAAAGAATAAATATCAGAAGGAAGCCTCTCAGCCTCTGTACAGCCCTGCTGTCCATCTGACTGGGTCCCTAAAGGGTCTGGAGGAATTGAAATTTCACAAACTGCAGGAGACCCGGGACCCTCCTGCAAGGCCTCAGTGGGGCCAGCAGGAACTTGACTAAAAATGGAGACTGACCTACCTAGTGCATGTGTTTAGGTTCCCGATGATTCATCACTGACATGCTGATGTCAGAGCAGCCTGGGAAGATGTTTACATCTTTTTAAAAAGGGAAACCGAAACGTTTTTCTGCGAAACCATCTGCAAAACCATCTGCAAAGACTGCTCTAGACTTTTCCTCTTCCTCATGGGAACTTCTGGTCTGAGCTCTAATCTAATTCTCCCTTGGTTGTCGTGACATCTTGGACAAGACACTATTTTTTGCTTAAGGTTCCCCAACTCATGGATGGGTAAAACATTTAAGGCAGCCATGCTTTGCAAAGAGTGGTATCATATAAATACCGCTCTGCGTGAGACTGAGAGAGCAATAATTTATTATTTATATATATTAACTCATCTAGTCCTCCCAACTAAAGGAAATGGGTCTTGTCATTGGTCCCCTTTTATAGAAGAGGAAGCAGGCGTGAAGAGGTTATGTAACTTGCCTTCGGTCTCATAGCTGGAGGAGGTCCAGTGGGCTTTGAATTTAGGCAGGCTGGTTTAGACTCAGTGCGCTTGACTCTAACACCAACTGTCTAGCTTTGTTCCTAAGCTAGTCGGTGAATGCCTGCCCTGTCACATTTCACGTGGGTTCCCTTGCTTTCCTTATCTCCCAGAGACAGGACTTAAGGGTGTGGGGTTAACAGCCCAGCCTTTGGAATCTTGTGTTCAAACTCCAGCTTTACAAACCATAAGACTTTTCTCACATCTCCGTTTTCTCATCTGTAAAATGGACTTGCAAATTGATCTCATGGACTTGTTGTGAGGATGAAATAGGATCCCATGTCTGGCCCAGGGTCTGAGATATTGCAAATGTGTCCATGAATGACAGTCATTATTATTAACAGTAATTGCCTCTAATGACAATGTTACTGTCACTATGCATTTTGTAAAAGCGATACCTCTCCCCACTCAGAAAAGAAAAAACTGACACCAATAGGTCTTGATGTACTTTAACCAAGCAGCCAAGGGGTGCCAGGACTGTGGAGCAGGCAGCCCCATTCTGCAGGCAGATGACCCACACTCTCAAGAGGTCACATGGGTCCCCAATTACTTAAATACAGACCCTTGAAATCTTGTCCCTCCTGGGCCCTAAGCACTTAGAGAGGTGTGGAGATGTGTTTAGGGGGGAGGGGTGGAAAAGTGGATAATTGAGAGAATTATAGGCCGAAACAGAAGACTCTTCAGGATAGAGATCTGAAGTATGTTCTTTTTTTCTTTCTTAGCCACAAACTCTGACCATCCCCTCTTGATGAGGAAAGGAATGTAAGACTAGACCCTGCTACGGAAGCAGACCTGGTCAGTAGGACACGTCTGCCTCCTTTCATTGAATTTATATTTATTTACTCGGTGCTTGTTCTGTGCCAGGCACTGTTTTAGGTAGTGGGGACGCAGCAGGGAAGAAAGCAGAAAACCCCTGTCCTCAGGGAGCTGACACTGAGTGTGTGAGGAGGGTAACAGCGCCACAGGTGGTTTTGCGCCACCGCACAGACCTACCCAAGCATGAGCAGCATGCCCCGTGGACCACCAGCTCTGCCTCCCTCACCCTCTCGCCCCTTAAAGCCAAGGACACAGGTTTCCACACCGTGGTCTCAGTGGGGTGTTATTAAGGAGAGAGAATTGGGGAGAGAGACTGACTCGACCTCTTTCCATATCAGAAAATAAGCAACAGACAGAGGCAAAGAGATTGTTCAGGCAAAGTACCCATCTCAATCAGGCAATGCACAGGGGTCCTGCCATTCCTGCCTCTTCCTCCCATTCCTGACCAGATACTGGGACCCTGGGAAGGCTGAAATCCTGGCCGTGCAACAGGGACAGAAATGGTGACATTCTGTGGTGGAAGCCAAGAGGACTGGGCAGGGGCAAGGCTGCATCCGGGGGTCTGGGCAGATCAAATCCATGGCTAACCTGTGCCAGGCATGCTTGTAAGTGCTTTATATGTATTAGCTGTTCGCCCTCAGCAGAGCCCTGGGAGATGGGCACTGTGACTAATCTCTACTTTAGAGATGAGGAAATTGAGCCACAGAGAGACTGAATAAAGTGGCCCAAAGCCACATAGCTAGTAATTGGCAGATCTGGGGCAGTTTTGAACCCAGGCAGCCTGGCTCCAGGATCTTTGTGCCTAATGCCATCATCAAACTGCTGATCTATGAACAATGTTTCAGAAAGAAATGTGTACTTCCCTTGGGTGAAACCTGTTCTCCAAGTGTCCTCAGAAGTCTGCAGGAGCTTCCATGGGACCACTCTCCCTCACACTTCTTGGAACCCCAGGTTAGAGATGTTAGGAGCCTTCCTTTACAACCCCCCTCGCTTGGCAGATGAGGACATGAAGATGGGGAAGGAGGTCATTGTCATAGTGGACACCAGAACTGTGGTCTCCTGGCAGAGCTCACTCACTGCCACGCTGGGGCTGCATGTCAGGGTCTTTGGGAGAAGAGCTGCTTCCTTTCCAGGGGCCTCTTTAAGGGTCCAGGCTCCTCCACCTCTGGGCAAGATGGTACCAGCAGAGCAAAACACCCGCCTACTCTGCAAAGAAGTCCCAGATGGTCTCTAAGAGCATTAGTGGACTCCAGGCAACACGGTGCCCAATTAGAGAGCTCATGTGTCTTGTCTGGCCCTCAGAGAATTGGCACTGCCCATGCTCTGGGCGTGCCCTCTCTAGGATATGGTTTCCTGACAGCTTTTGGAGCTGCTTCTCCGAGAACCCTTAACGACTCTGAGTCAGAGGCTGTGGAAGTTATCTTTGCCTGGTATGTGCCTTGTACAGAAGTCGGGATTCAGTGACAGCGGCATTCAATTGAATGTCTTCACCTCTGGGTACCAAGCTAGGGCCCTATATTAGCCCACAAGGCCTCCTGAAAGATGTCCCCATCCTCCTTGGAATTGGGCAAGAGGCCGTCAAGAACCACCCTAGACTTAGAATGTCACGGAATCCTGGCTCTGCCCTCCATGCTGGGAAATCTTCAGGCAATCTCCAGCCGTTCTTTGAGCTCCAGTTTCCCATCTGTTGAAGGAAGCTGGCAGTGTCTCTTCAGGATGCCTTGCAGGAGATGCAGCATGCGAAGGTGCTTTGCAAAGAGTGAGGTGGGCGGGAGATCGTGCTTACCCAATCTCAGCACGGTAATCCCTGTCTTGTTTGGTCCTGGGTCAGAGAAACCTCAGTCCTTTCATCACAAACCTAGAGAGAGAGGGGGGAAGGTCAGGGAAAAGGGGCAGGGGTGAGCTTCCTCTCACTTTCCCCAGTGAGGCCCCATCTTGAGGGCTGGTGCTGTCCTACCCCATGGAGGGGGCTGCTGCAGAGAGGAGGAAGCTGGGGTAGGGGTGGGCTCTGGGAAGGCTAACACACCCCAAGGCCAGCAGGTCACATTGTCTAGGCTGGTGCTTCCGGTTAAAATTTGGCATCAGTAGCACCACTTTACATCACTCACTGGGTTGGCGATGGAGAGGATGGCAGGTTAATGAGATGGTCCTGGCT